CATTTTGTTTAAACTTATTTCCTTGAATTATTCTAACCTAATTAACCAATACTTCAAGGCAACTTTAAAATAAATAACATAAAAAATTGGAATTGTTAAAATTAAATATCTGTCAAACTTCTTGTGTTTTTATTTCTTCATAACAAGTATAAAACTCTTGCAAGTTTATGAACTAGATTATTGCAATAAAAGTTACACTTTTTATTAGTCCAAAATTAATTTTGTTTTTTAAATTTGACGTTGCCAAAAAAAAACAAATATTTTCATTATTTTAAACACTTCTGTAATTGAAAGTATATGTCTACAACTAACTTTTGCGAAAATAAAGGCCGATTGCAGAATTTTAGACATTAAGCCATAAAGAAATTTGATTTTTACACTCAGTCAATTGAAAGTGATAAAGTAGCTTGTTGCTATTCCACCAATTCCATGTCAAAACACAAAATTGGCAGGTGTTCATGTGCTGGCCATATCAAATTTTTTCTTAGTGATTTTGTGATCTTATTTGTCTTATCTACTGTAGACATTTGTAGAACATTTTATGAAGATTCAACAATGTTAAGTCATTGTTAAAATTAGTATTCGGTTTTGTTTTACATCAATATATAATACATTACTAAGTTTATCCATGCAATTATTTATTTATTTTATTATATTAATAATTTTATTTTCATCCTTTTTAAAAATACTTTCATAAATAAAAGTTTTCCTTTCCTACTCAATTTCTCAGGATAAATGTATAAGAAAATTACACAATGAGACAAGCCAGAGAACATAAAATTTAGAATATCTAATTAATAGTTCAATAGCTATTGTTACTCATTGTACTATTGTTACTCATTATAAGTATTGAATCATAAATAAGCCACTTGTACTGTTGTTAATCATTATAAGTATTGAATTATAATTAAGCCACTTTGGAGTTGTTTTGAAATGGCATTATTGTACAGTATGAAACTCTCCAATGTTTTATCCTAGTATTGATAATATTTTTAATTCTGTTAGTATATTTATGTGGTTTTGTATTTATGTTGCAGTTAAATATAGTTGTTAAATGTAAGTGTTATGACATGATGACCACGCATGTGCAGTTTTAACCGAATGGCCTGCAACGCATCTCTCTCATGTGACTTACATGAGAAGAGAAGAGACTGATAGTAAGGAAGTAATGAAAGTAACCCGCTATATGCTGGTGGTAATTATAAACGTGGATTTCTAATTTTGTGTTACCTACTTGTTTTGTTTTGTTTGTAAATAAAGTTTTTCGTGTTGTTAAATGTCTGTTTTATGGAAGGTCCAAATTATGTTCACATCTGCATTAAGAAGTAAATATATATCCAGAACCTGCCCATGCAGAACATATGACAGTGGTGTCAGAAATGGAGGATATATCATTCTATGAAGTTCACAAGTAAAAGCGTAAGTGAGTCTTTAGAAAGGTAAGAAGTGCTTTGTTCAATTTATTTTGTGGTAAAGTAAAATTCAAGGTTAGCAAAATGGTTGAAGAGCTACTGAAATCTAAGAAAGAACGGAAAGTTATTTGTTCAGCCATTAACAAAGTAGCAAGTTCTATTGAATCCTTGATTACAACTGGTAACACTGAAGACCTAGAAGAATCATTGGCAATTTAAAGATATTTTTTTAAGAGCGTTAGATGAAAAAATTAAATCATCAACTGATATTAATGATACTGAAATCAAAGTCGAAAGTGCCTTGGAATACGAAGAAAAGATTACGAAATGGAGTTTTAGAGGCACAAAATTATTGAAAGAAAAAAGAAATGGTAATAATTCGTTAGTTTCTAATGGTTCTTCTAATGATATTAATAATTTATCTATTTTTAGTGTCAATAAAAGTTCTGATTATAATGGTAAATTGCCAAAGATTATGATTGATAAATTTTATGGAAATGCTGAAATGTGGCAGACGTGTTACAATTCTTTTGAAAGAGCAATAAATCGAAATGAAAAACTATCTAAAGTGGATAAGTTTAATTACTTGCTTAGCCTGTTAAATGGTGCAGCTTTAAAAACGATAGAAGGATTTTCATTATCACCAGAAAACTACGACGAAGCACTTAAAATTCTTAAAGACATATGGTCGAAAAGATATCCTTATTAATTCGTACATACATAAACTATTAAATTTACGTCCTGTCGAAAGTTCTAATGACGTTCATGCCATGAGAGAATTACATGACACCTGTAATGTACAAGTGAGGTCGCTAAATTCGATAGGAATCAAAACTGAATCATACGGAAGTTCACTGTATCCTTTATTAATGAAATGTATACCTCAGAATATAACGCTTGATTTTGCTGGTCAAAAAGCAGATAAGGAAAGTTTTAATGTCAAAGACCTCATGAAATTTCTAAAATGGGAAATTGAAAGTTGTGAACGAACTTCATTAAATTAATTTTATTCTAAGAATTACTCTAATTCTCTCAAAAAGCATTCTCGACCCAATGAAAAATGAAACAACTTCCACACTTGGAATTCATTCAACGCCAACAAATTTGGCTCCAGCTATTTCTCTGATGTAAGCGAAATTGCAGTTGTTCGAATTTTTTCTTGCATATTTTGTGAAAGCGGAAATCATGGTTCGGAAAAATGCGTTATGTCCCCAGAAGAAAGAAAAAAAGAGTTTAAAAGCTCCTAATAGTGCTTTCTTTGTTTCGAAAGGAACCGTAGAACGAAAAGTTCCCCTTCTCAATTTAAATACTCAAAATTTAATTCTAATTATCATAATATATGGTTGCATGAAGATAAGGAAAAGGTTGCCAAAAAAGAAATTAAGAATAATTCTAACACTGTAACAGCAAAGATTTCTTCTAAATATTGGGTTGGCAACTAAGTAATTGCGGATTTTTTTTAGAAAATCAAAGACAATTTTTTCATAGAACTAAATAACTTTATTCTGTAATGTATTGCCCATTTTGATCAGTGACCTTTTGCCATTTTTCAGGCAGCATCATAATCTCACGTTCATAAAACTTCTGGTTTTTATTAGCAAAAAACTGAATCAGGTACGATTTGACATCATCATTATTATTGAAATTTTTACCATTCAAGGAGTTTTGTAAATATCGAACCAAAAAGTAATCAGATGATGCAAGGTCAGGACTATATGGTGGATGTGGCCAAAATCCAAACCAAGCTCCAATAATTTTTTCCAAGTGACCATAGATGTGTGTGGCCTTGCATTGTCATGATGGAATGCAACACCTTTTCGATTTGTCAATTTGGGCTGCTTTTCTTCAACTGCATTGTTTAATTTCGTTAGTTGTTCAATGTAGACATAAGAATTGATCGTTCGGTTGGGTGGTAAGAGTTCAAAGTAGACAATTCCTTTGTAATCCCACCAAACTGATAACAAAACCTTCTTTGATGAATATCAGCTTTTGATGTTGTTTGAGTTGGTTCACCTGGCCTGCTCCAACAATCTTTTTGCTTGATATTGTTGTAAACAACCCATTTTTCATCGCCAGTTATCAGTCGTTTTAAAAATGGATCATTTTCATTACGTTTCTTTACGTTCTTTCTTTAGCATCATTTTCATACGCAAATGGCAGCTGTTAATGCGTTGCGTTAAATGCGTTTCCGTTTTTTTCATTGTTCGTGAGGAACCCATGTATCGAGTTTTTGAACATAGTCAAGTTGTTTTAAGTGATTTTCAATGGATGTATGTGATACATGAAGCTTCTCTGCAATCTCACGTGTTGTACTGTGACGATCCGAATCGATTATTGCTTTGATTAGGTCATCATCAACTTCAACTGGAGGACCAGAGCGTTTTTCAACTTTGAGTGAAAAATCACCAGAACGAAATTTGGCAAACCAATTTGACACTGCCGTTCTTTTAAGGCTTCGTCACCATAAACAGCACATAACTTTTTATGAGCTTGCGATGCGTTTTACCCTTTGCGGAAATAAAAAAGCAAAATATGACGAAAATGTTCCTTTTGATTTTCCATTTTTCAACGAACGCCAAATGAAAATTACGCAACCGATCTAAAAGCTTTTTTTACTGATTGACAGCTGAATTCCCATTTATCAAATAACAAAATGCGTTTTACATTTGTACTACGTCTGCAACCCTAAATATTCAACTGAAGTCATCTATGAGTGAAATCCGCAATTACTTAGTTGCCAACCCAATATTTTAGTATGAATCAAGAAGTTAAGAATTAATCAATGACTTGCCAACTGTTAAACTTATATGTGATGGTAAATTAATTAATGCAGTAGCAGATACAGCCACACAATTAACCATTGTCAAGGCTGACATTGTACCAGAAAAATACTGTATGCTACATGGAAGTGTTATCCTCACGTCAGCTTTTGGACAATCTTTAAAGGCTCCTCTTATTAACCTACCTTTAGTGATGTATTCTGAAGACGATAAAATTTATGTTACTTATTTTCATAACATGTGCAATGGTGGGTAAGTTATGTAATGATTTACTTTTGTCGTTAAGTGCTTTTAATGAGTTAATTGAAGAGGATAAACAAAAGTTTAATTTTGAATGCAAAAATGTAAAACATTACTAATGATAGTTTGGTTGAAATGCCTTTTTATGAAACTGAAAATTTTGACAAAATATTTATCATTTAAAAAAAAAAAAGTGTTACATTCAATTTACTTTTCAAACTTAAATCTTTAAACCTAAATCTTTCACATCATCGTAATCATATAAGCAATTATCACACAAACAAAACAACTAGGTAACACAGAATTAGAAACCATGTTTATAATTACCGCCGGCATACATACAGCGTATTACTTTCATTACTATCAGTTTCTTCTCTTCTCATGTAAGTCACGTGAAAGAAAGAGGCGTTGCAGGCCATTCGGCTAAAACTGCACATGTTTATCACGTCATGACAATAAGTATGTATGATGTGCTAGCTATAAACATTTAACATGCTGTGTTTCAGTAACAAATGTATGTTTGTTCTCATAACTAATATAGTAAAGATATATTTAATTAATTTCTTAGGGGATCCATGTCAAGCCTTCAATCCTCTCATAGTGGTACAACTTGTACTTCCACAGGAGAGCAGTCTGGGATCAGCTCTTGCCCTTCAAGATGATAATGAAACATTACTTTTTCTTTTTTTCTTTAAAGAAAATCTATAACAATAAAACATGTGTAATTTATTTGGTAGACTCTTGGTTATTAGTATCAAAACTGAAGTTCCATGCTGTTTAGAATGTTCTTGCATAATAGCTAGACTTTCAGATTGTCTATCAGTATGCATGTTATGAAACTAAAAAACACCTTTAAGAAAAGGAGGCTTTAAAATGCAAGTTTACCTGTTTTATTTATTTATTACCTATCTTTATTCTTTTGCAAAATTATTGCTATTTCTCAAAATTTTGATTTGATAGTATTTTGTAGAAGAATTTTATTCATGGCATAAATGAATGATTTAATATCTTTAGAAAATGGTTTAAAAAACAACTTCAAGTTATATTATAAAATGAGTATATAACTTTTGAGTTTCTGAAATCCCGGTGAAAAGAATTTAAAAGCAAAATTAATATATATATAAGTGTGAGATATTTATGTGAATAGTCATTTTAGCAAATAGACGGGCAGAATTTTTTTGTGTGCTGAAAGGTGGTAATTGCATCATTGTTTTTTTCCCTCCTTGAAAATTTGATTGTGTATGTAACACAATATATAATATCAAATTGATTTTGCTATAGATAATCGGATGGATGAGAGTGCTGTAATATTATGATGGATGAAAGTATTATAATTTTAGCTTGAAATTTTTTTTGTTATTCTCTCTCTCTCTATATATATATATATATTCTGTGTTTAATGAATTTGCATTTAGTTTTTCTTTATATATGTATATACAGTTTTTCATGTGAACCTCACACTCTTTTTTTAGAAATTGTGAATTAATGCATTGTTGTAATACATGTGAAGTGTACTCAGATACTGAATGGTTTAAAAAGCAGAATTTAGCATTAAGAAAGCATGTTGTAAAATGTGAACTCAGCAATTCTGCTGATCAAAGCATAGGCTTAAATTAACATTGTACTTTTATTTTATCCATCAGATTTGTAGAATAGATTTTAATTTTGAGTAAGATTACAGAAATGTTTTATTGAAGCATAAATTGAATCCTGCAAAGGATTTGTTAGTACTTGTGTTCTGCTTTATTCAACATGTCATTAATTCATTGTTTATTGATTCCATATATTTGGCAGTGATATAAGTTGATGCATGAAAAAATAACTTAACCCCCTGAGTGGCATGACTGCCTTTATCTGGTCATGGAAGTTTTTTCTGTCTTTATATATATTAGTTCATAATTTAAAATATTTTGCTTTCTTACTTTCTTACTCTTAAGGTAAATATCACCTTAATAAATGAAAGTTTATGAAAATAGAGATTAAAATAAGTAATTATTCAAATTTTTGGTATTAAATGCAGTTTCAATATAGATTTTCATCAACAGATCCAAAAACCTATAACACTCAGAGGGTTAAAAACTGATGTTCAGATTTCTGTATACTCACCATTCAGTGATTTTTTTTTTTTTTTTTTTAATATTTTACTTTACATTATTTGAGGAATTGGGTAAAAAAATGTTTTTAGAACAATGTATGATGAATTTAATAAAGAGCATTTTAAGATTAATGTTCAAATAGGCAAAAGTGTTGAAATTATAACATTGGCAGTAGCATTCAGATAGTGACTTATTTAAATTGTAAAGTTTCACACTCTGTTATGTGAAAATATTGAGTCTTTTAATAGCTCGGATTGGATGGATGATTGCAGATTTTTTTTTATGTATGCCTGAATGTATAATTGAGCATACATCTGTATAAAATGAGTTAATGAAACACCTTCTTTTTTCATACTTTTATTTTACACCTGATATGAAAGAACTGTCAATACATATCTTTATTTTCTTTCGGCTTAATATTTATGTTACTTTTGGATATTTGTGAGTTTATGTAATTGTTACATGCTTTTTTTAAACTCTTTTCCCCCCTCCTCTTAAATGCATTTTTTGAAAATGCAGATGTCTGTGAACAAAGGGGAAAGAAATCCCATTGAAACTTCATGTTTAGTAAGTATCAGAAAATACTGTGATAAAAAGTATAGATTCATTTCAGATTCAAATATTTAAATTAAATATTACAAATTTTGATATTTTTAATAATAAAGTATTTTTAAAGGTAAATAATTTTTAAAACAAAATATTTATTTATAAAAAAATTTTAATAGGACTGTGATTTAATGCTAATTGTTTTCTATATATTTATTTAATACTTAAATTGCAGAAAAGTGGAAGAATCAATAAGTTCTTATATATCAGAATCCTGAGATTGTTTCTCACAGTGCCAAGAGTCTACCATGATCTTTTTCTTACCTTTATCTATAATAAGCTCATGAACCAAGGACTTTGTACGATGGACAAATTCATATTTTTTTCCCAGAAGTATGATCTTCCATTTACGGAATGTGCCTGTAGAGTTTTTTTGCTTCACTGAAATTTAACTTGAGATGCAAGTTAGAAAAATTAATGAAATCTGACACACACACACATATATATATATATATATATTAATATCATTAATTTTTCAAATAAAAGGCAGAATAAATAAAAAAAAGTCTAATAACTTCTAAATTTATATATAATTATTGTAATTTATAGAATGAATCATATATACATATTCATGGAAAGCACTTTGATATCATTGTGCATGTTGAAGACTTGGGCATTAGACCATGAATGTGAATTTTATGAGCTTTGTTATTTCATAGCAATATAGAACTTTTCTTTTATCCAGTATTATTCAATATTATTCAAATGTGTGTTAGATAAACTTGTGTAATGTGATGTCCAAAATTATATTTATTTAACCATTGAAAAATGGGATTGTCCAGAATTTTTGCTGTCATTTAAAGTATATATTATATTACAACATTTAATTTTTGAAGATGCAGTCAGCTTTGTACATAATGATTAGTACAGCTCAAAAGAAAAGGAGATTAATTAGCCAAGATAATCATTAATTGCCAAATGACATGGTATTGTTTCAGCTCTTATGTATGTGTGGAGCTTTATCTGCATATTATTGAAGGTCCCTTTTTATTTAATTTTTGAATTACATTTTCTTCTCATCTTAAATTTACATATTGTCACTGCTGCTGTAATAGATCATTTAAAGGGGAAGGATTTTGGGAAATAGAGAAAACAAAATAAAATTGGACTGACAACTTATTTTAGTAATAGTGAAAATGTGCAATTTTTATTCCTTTTTAAAATTTCGAACATTGAATTAGATATTTTATTGTTTTGCAATATATCTGTGTGAGGAAAATTTTTAAAAATTTTTTGAAGATATGCATTTTCTTATTTTAAAAACATGTTAACATAGATGCGAATTCATTTGTTTTTTGAGTTAAAAAAATTAATCTCCATGAGACATGATCTAATATAGCTCCTCAGTGAATTGTATGATATCTACAGTGGTATGTTTTATTTTATACAAATTTTTGCTTTATATATTCATATTATAAGAAAATAACAACATTTTTCTGCAAAATAGGTATAGAACATGATATGAAATGTGGGAAGTGCAGACAGCTGTTAATTAGCTGAGCCCTTTTTTTAAAAAAAAAGTCATGTTTGTTTATTGCAGAACAGTGGAAAAATTGCTGTCTGAAATAAATTAACAAAACATTTCCTGGGAACTACAAAAAAGGAGAAAAATCATATAGGAAATAGTAGTGATAACAGATGGTGTCATAATGGCTGTTTTTATCTGCAGAAGGGGGTAATTTAATTGTGTATAATCAAACTATAAACATTGCTAATGTATTTTCTAGATCAAATTGGCTTAATTGTTAATAATACTTTTATGTAAAGTATAATGTAGATTTTTCTTCTTCTTCTCCCCCCTTTTTTTGAATTACTTTTTAAATTAACATTGATTTTGAGTCATTTGTGTGGAGATTATTCCCAGTTATTACTACGGTAAATCAAGCATTGGTAATAGCTTCATAAATAGCTTGAAATGATCATATTATAATTAAATCAGTTGAGAATTGCTTTATAACAGGTTATATAATTTGAGAAATGCATCACAAAGACTCAATACAGCACTTACTCTCTTATAAATACAGAAAGATAATATATTAAGTATATTCAGAGCTTGATGATTTATACATAGACGCACAATAAATGGCATTAGATAAAATAATGTAGAATATGTTGCAGCTTTCTTTCTATGTTTTGTTCATTGTTTTGAATATGCTGTCTCACAGGTGCTATTCAATGATTATAATCTAAAAACTTCAAATAATAAGTCAATAAAAATAATCCAGTAAAATAAAATATTTCCTAATATATTGGCTTTTTATGTGTCTAAAGGATGATTTCAGAAGTTTATCGCTGCTGAGGTATATGAAGTTGATTTCAGAAGCAACATCTATTTTGTAAATGTAAGAGCTAAAAAATTGGTAGATTTAATGCAGCAATATGAGCATGTTATGAAAACATTTGCAAGTTTTGAACTTTTGCTGTGATGAAAATGTTGCAAAATGTTATTGCATATAAAGTATGAATTCTTGCTGCAGGAAAATACACTCCTCCTTGCTGAAACTAAGCATCACATTGAGATTACAGATCTGCATTTTTTGCTGTTTTCACTTTGCATAAAATTTTTAAGCTTGCAAATTATATTTCACTAAATAGTGATTTTGAAGCTTAATAGTTTTAATATGGTGCCTCTCATATAAATGACATATTTCTTCAAAATCTAGATGGAGGGAGGTTACATGTGTAACAAAGATTTTGCACCCTTTTTAAAATTTTTTTATAAAGAGGCACAGGGAAGATCTTACATATAGAAAGCTAAAATTGCATGAAATATTAAAATTTAATTTTAACTAATTATAGAAATAATTTTCATATATTATTAGTATTAGGCATTATAGTGGGAAAAAATCATTACTTTAATATATGAAAGGTGGGAAGAAAGAATGATATAATATTTTAGAATTCATAAAATATATTTGCACATTTGTGGTCATATAAAATAGAATGCACATTAGTTCATTATCTACTACAAGTATGTAGCATTTATTGCTTAGATTGAATTAGTTTTCTAAAAAATTTCAAAGCTTCAGTTTTTTTTATAGATATACTGCATTTTTAAAACTTCATGAATAAATGTAAAAACTATATTAAGCTTTTATTATTTGATAGCACATGGGTGCCACATTTCTGCAACTGAAAATTCTTCTTTTTAAATTATTTAAGGTTTAAAAAGTTATTTCTTTAAAAGATAATCAGCTCTCATAATCAGAAACTTCAAACAAAGACTTATTTTACTGTAGCAGTATTCCATAAAGCTCTTAGATGGTCTTGTTGTAAATGTTAATAACTTTGAAGGGCTGCGAATGGCTGGTGATGGTTGTGAAAATGGTTTCTTGTAGAAGAGCAATGAAGTTTGTGATGATATTTCTTTTCCTGCTCCTAAATTTTCTGCAGATTTAGGTCTTGTAATCTCTTATTTGCTTTTGAGCTTCTTTCAAAATTGGGACCAATTGTTTTTTTCTCCTCTTTTCCTGTTTTATATTGTTAATGCTGTACATTCAGCCTTATCATCAGTTAGGTGAAGTGTCTTGTTCTCTAATTATCTGCTGTATTTTTCTGTTGCGATGAGACCTTCATTATGGAACCCAAGTAGTTTTGCAATATTTACAGTTTGAGCTTCAAATTTAAGACACTTAATGTGATAGTAACATTTTATGCAGTTTCATGGATTTGATTCTCTGAATCTTCTGCACTGTATAGAATTATTTCTGTGATGTGCTTCTATGCATTTTTAATGTTGTTTGAAATAGGAAAGTTTTGAAACCTATTGAAGTATGTCAAAAGAGTAGATCATCTTGCAGGTGTGTGGGTTCTAACTAAAAAGAAAGGTTCCCTAGAAGTGTGGCAGAGCACTTGTGTTATGGTAACATACTGTGATCTTATTTCAAAAATATATAAATGTTTATGTTAACTTTGCTAAATTGATTTTAAAAGAAGTTTAAGCATTTTTCATTTTTAGTTAGGTTGTCTTTCTAAAAGTTGCATTAATATTCTTTTCATAGTTCATAAATTATAGGATGAGATACTAAAAAGCAAAAAGAAATTGTCTTTTTAAAAATATATTACTGTATTTAGGTTGAATTTTCTAGTCCTTTTCTTATCATAAATGTGACACCTGTGCAGTTATAAAAAAATAGCATTTAAAATTAATTTTTGAAAAGTTTATTCACAGAAGTTGGTCAGTAGGAAATTTGAAAAGAAAAAGTTGAGTTTTAAATATTAAAAAGTCATTCTTTCATACTTCTAAATAATCCAGATCAAACTATTGCTGTCCATGTTTCAAAAATATTTTCTTTAAAATATCTGGCTTTATTTTTTATTTTGCTACTGAATTTTCATAAAGATATTTTAATCGGTGTGTATAGAAATAGTTTAATATTTTTAATCTAAACTATAGAAACTATTAAATCAAAATATTTCATATTTTACAGCTGCATTTCATTTTGTAACTTTGAGTGAAAATATTGTGCTAAACTAAAAATGGACCAAAATTTTAAACAATAAGCTGTATAAATGTATTTTAGAAATTTTTTACTTTTAAATTAAAATTTGTATGTATAGAATATAAGAAAAGTATAAATAATCTAGGACGGAGTAAAATCTGAAGTTTATTTTTGTGTATTTTGTTTAGTTTTTTTTTGTACATCGTATGAACCATACCTGATGTTAAGAACTAATTTTTCTTAAAGATACAGAAATGTGTCTGTAAGAGAGAGACACCGAGAGAAAATGTATCCATAATAATAATTTTTGTTTTGTTTGTGTGTGTGTTATAATTGCCTGCAAACTTTGGTAAGCAAAGGTAACTTTTGATGACTTTTTGTTATATTGTTAATTTATAGTTACATGAATTCTTTATTTATTCAAAGTGTTGATTTTTTTCTTGCCTTATGACTGTACAAAGTTATAATATATTTATAAGTTTATCATAGCATCATCAAATTTAATATTTATTCATGTAAAATGCATTCTTTTATGTTATGCATTGTCTTTATAAAAGTATGCAATTTGTATAAAATGTATGTTATTGTTCTGTGGCATTGTGTAAAGCTTTATCATTTTGTGTGATTTTTACATTATGTGACCTAATTAAAGTTTTTAAAAACAAAGAGACAAAAACATTTTAATTTAAAATCCTTATTTGATGTATTTTAAAATTTAAATGAAACTACAAAAATAGTAAGCAGCTGTAGATTAACTTTTCATGGAATGAATACAGTAATAATTTAATGCATTATTTATCTCTATTTCATTTTAATTTTGTTTTTATTTTATTTTATTTTATTTTATTTTATTTTTTTTTTTTTTTTTTTTTGAGGGGGGGAAGGGTCATTTAACTTTGGGGCGTTTGCTTTCATGTTTTTAACAGAAGTAAGATCTTTCAACTAATTTTTATTTTACAACTTGTATTGAAAACTAATACTAAAATTAGTATTTATATACTTATCTTGAATTTTGGCTTCATGTCTTTTTTAAAATATTAAAGCTGTACAGTTGTATGTGCTTTTGCACTTTGTATTTTGTAATCACAGCCGCAAAACATATTTTGAAAAGTTTCAGCTCCCTCTTTTTTTATTTACACACTTCAGTCAATGTATGAAATGCACTTATTTTTGAGGTACATGAAATTAATATTTAACAGTGGCTTTGTATATATTATTTAGAATACATGAATACACTTTTTTTTTTTTTTTTTTTTTTTTGAATAGCTGCTCATAGGCATAGGCACATAGTGGATATGAGTGCTAAATTAGATGAGTAATTTGCATATGTATATTTAGACCAAACATGTTTATACTTCATTTACTGTAGAAATTTGAACTGTAGTTAATTCAGTAAAAAGGAAATGTGTTCAGCCTGTAAACTGGAAAAACATCTGCATGAATAAAATCATGTGATGTTTAAAGTCAATCAAAACCAGAGTTCTGTAAAGTGTCTTCCTGTGGGGTGGCTTTTATTGTAAAATTTTTAAAAGCAACTGAGAAGTGCATGTGAAAATGTGAGAAATAACGGAGAAATGCGAGATGTTATAATCTTCCAGTTATGTGAATTGTTTAAATATGATATTGTATTGTTATATTTGATAGGGAACAATAAAATTTTAATTTTTCTTGATTGATTGTCTTTGTTTATTGTTTTGATTGTAAATATCCTTTTTATTCATATTTTCATTATAAAACATTAAATTGTCTTTAATTCAAAATGAAGTGCGATAAATTGAAGTGTGAAGTAATGTGAATACTAGTTATGTTATTAAATTTCAAAAAATTAAACTAATTAATTTTTAATTTCAGCTATTTGAGGGAAAGTTACATTTTATTTTAAAATTTTTTAAAATTCCTGAAATTCAATTATGCTTTCTAGAAGAGTGAAGTCTATTTTAGAAGTGCTTAGTAAAATTCTTTCTCTGGCAAAGCACAAAATTATTGCTAGGGTATGAGGCACGAAATTTATCATTTATTGTTTACATAACAAAAGTGTGTTCTTCATCAGCTGAACAAAGTGAATTTGAAAGTATATTCGTCATCAGAATAACAAATTGAATTATTTGGGAGATTTAATTTTTGTTTATTTATTTAAAGTCTGTTTAAAATATACTGCAATATTGTGATCTATCGGTTGACTGCCAGTGATTATTATAACATACAAATCTCTTGCACTGGAATTTATCTTAATAAACAATAAGTACTATTGCTTTAACAGGCATTAATATCTTATGATTTAATTTCATTTAAAATTTACTGTGGCAGTAATGCATGGGTTGACTGTCAGGGATTTGTCAAACTTTAAGTTTCCAATGCAGCATTGATGGGTGTTGATATCCTTTTTATCAGTATCCTTTGGTTTATTTTTAAAATTTGTTAAATTTTACTGCACCATTCACCAGCATCAGTGACCTATGGGCTGCTTCCTAGTGACCATTAGCCTATTGTCACTGGTGGTCAACTACCATAACAGGACCAGTGTCCTTCACTTTAATTTTTTTTAAAAAATCTTTAAATTCATTGCAGTATTTCATACTGATGACCATCAAACAACAGATTATTTGTGACTAACAGCCTTACTGTCACTTTTGGCTTATTTTTATCTTTTGAGTGAGAATTTTCAAGGAAATGTTGAGAAAACTATCATATCCAATCGTGCTCTAGTTGTCCATGTGTAAGCGCTGTCGATTGGATGGAAGCATATTAGATTTGATTCATGCAAACAAAGAAGATGTGAGCACATGACTCTGAGAAATGAAAAATACTAGTAGAGGAGTGAAAAGATCGTGCTAACTGGCTATCATTGCTGGCAGAATTTTATCAGGTGAGCATCCAAAAACGCGTTTTTTATTAAGATAAATTTTAAACCAACAAGGCAATTATGTAAAAAAGTAGATTTGTATTTAGGAAAAAAAAATGGTATTTTTAACAATATTTACTTGTTTGTTTTTATTAAACCTTACTTAGAAATTAAAACCCTCATTCAATTATTATTATATCAATACGTTACTTTTTTTATTATTAATAAAAATTTAAGTGACATTATTTAAGATTTCATTAGAAGAGGCTTTTATATCCAGCAGCCTTAATTCGGCATTGATGCAAAGATTTATAAACCACATCTTGAACTGTAAAACTTTACTTAATCGAGGCAATAAATGAAATAGCAATTGACCAATCATGGTCATTAAAAATTTCTTCGTTATTGTCTGCTCTTGATAAGCAGCAGTATTATTCTTTTGCAAATGGACATTAAAAAGAGTAGTCTCAAATGAAACTTAAATTTCGGTTCTTTATTCCACCTTCATACTTCGGAAGCGTACAGCCTGATTTTGACATTTTAAAGGGTCTTAAATGAGATAACTGAAGTTTTCCTTACGGTTAAGAAACGATTTATTATCAAAACCAAAATTGTATTTTTATTGTCAAAAAATATAGCGAACTAATGATCAAAGAGGCATAATTTTTTTTAATCTATGTAATAATCAATTGCTTATCGGTGTAAAAGGGTGAGCTATATAAAAGTAATCTCTGAATTATCCTGATTCTGCCTGATGAGCTAAACCTTTCTTTCCTTTAAAATTTTGCAAATAGTGTCCCAATAACGTAAGGCAGTTGATTAATGTGCACTGTAACGTACTTTGCAATTTTTATCGAAATAACAGATGAAAACATAAATTTTCTTCTCGATTCACGAAGATAGATAATTTAAATACAATTCTGTGCGTTACAGCTTACTATGTGGAGATGAACGTGACCGAAATGAAAGCTGCCTCAACGAGTGTAATTCCAGATATTTCCACGGAAAATTAATTTTTTGAAACCTTAGATGCAGTTCCCTCTACTGAGATAGAAATGGATTGCAATGATGAACCTTCTTCTAAAGATGACGGCCAAACGAAAGTTAACGCTGAAGCCAGCCAATTAGAAGTTATCAATGCTGTAGTTGATTCGCGCAAGGAAAGAGTGCCTCCGATCATCTATCTGCCCGATACCAGAGGTAACCTGGAAAGAAATCCGAAGTTTATTCTCCAAGCACAGTGCAGCTACCTACACTGGTGTCTTGACAAGAGATAAAACAGCTATTATTTTTGACTCTTTTACCAACAGAGAACGCATCCTTACTATCTTTCTGAAGAGTGAGAGACAATTCAGTATCTTCAGACCAAAGAAAGATGCTTCCCGTAAAGTTGCAATTAGAGGACTCGCAGAGGATTTTAATGCCGATGATATTAAGAATGAATTTTGTGCGGAAGGTTTTCGTGTCATCAAAGTTTCCCAGTTTAGACGGAAAACTCAAGGAAATAAAGTCAGGCTTCTAGTTTTCTTCGTGTCGCTGACTAGAAATGATGCTCGCCGCAGTATTTATAAGAAGTTTTTCTGGGTCTTAAGGTTAAAATCCGAAGATACAGAACAAACTGCAGCTCTATGATGTGTTTCAGTTCCTAAAGGTTTGGCCATGGACAATTATTTTGTAACAACGAGCCTAGATGTTTTAAGTGCGGGAAAAATCATTTGACCTCTTTTGATCTCCCAAAAAAGGGAAAACCGACTTGTGTTCATTTTAAAGAAAGTCACGTTGCCAGTTCAAAGAATTGCGAGTTTTATCGTAAATTGCGCATAAAATCTGCAGAAATTAAGCCAGTTCTGAGCTAAAGAAACTATTAAAAATGCTTCTAAGTTAAGCAAGAAGTCATGTGACAAGAGTGCTCCAATCCCAGAGAGCGAAGCCATTCCTGTGATTATTCTATTGGAATTATTCTGACAAAATTTGCAGGACTTATCAGCAAATTTCTTAATTTCGGTGCTCAATTCAAAAAGTTGAAATGGGAAGAAGAAAAGCAACAATTTGCGCTGTTTCTTAAGGATATGCTTTGAAGCGCTTGAAATCTAAACTTTCATCTTCTAATGTATGATGTAATATTCTAATGAATGATAATCTAATGTATTTTATGTCATGATTGTTTTACTTTCAGCATCATTAAGGCCCAATTACTTAAATTGAGCCGGAACACAGCTAACTAATCGCGGCATAATAAAGTCATGTCATGTCATGTCTAAGTTCAGTGTCGCCGGTTAAAAACCTTCAGTTGAGCTTAAGGATGTTCATACTACGACAAACTTGAATCCTGTTATTTTTGTTAAAAATAATTTTTTGAAGTTCTAAATGCGCACACTGACGCTGAAAGTACTATGGACTGTGTTGAGAATCCCCGCCTACGGAGAATTCGCAAAATGAGGTTAGCGTCGCTACCCCCGCCGATATTGCAACCTCTTCAGTGGTCAAATATAAAGAACGTGTTCCTCCGATCGTGTGTCCGCGGCCAGAGGTTTCCTGGAAGGAAGTCAAAGCCCTTTTCATCAAACACGATGTAAAAGGATACACTGGAATACTTACGAGGGACAAAATTACCATCATCATTGAGAATTCTGCTAGTCGGGAATTAGCACTAACTACTTTCATCAAGAATGACTTCCAGTTTAGTACTTTCCGGCAAAAGAAAGATTCTTTCCTCAAGATCGTCATGAGAGGTTTGTTTGAAGACTCGGATGTTGAAGAAATCGTAAAGAACTCAGGAGTGATGATTTTCTAATCACGAAAGTGACTCAGTTTGTTCGGAAAATTAACGGAACTGCAACGAATCTATCTGTTTTCTTTGCGTCTCTGACGCGGAATGATGCAGTATCTATATAAAGAAAACAATTCTGAATCTAAATGTTACCATCCGCTGATTCGATTTACCGTGATGCGCGTCCGCTGCCAAAGATTTGACTTTGCTCAGTTATTTTGCAACAATGCGCCGAATTGTGAGCTTGATCATTTAACATGCATTTGTAATTTATCCAAAGAAGAAAAACCCACCTGTGTAAAGTGCAAAAAAAAAAAATCGCATATTGCTTCTTATAAAGGTTATGAATTTTATCCAAAAATTCGCAGTAGTTCAACTGATCATAAGACCGCCTCTCGGCTGCCGAAAGAAAATAAGAAGGTTGTCAAAAAATTTACAAATCTTGTTCCTGATGTATCTGTAGCTCAAGAGGCTAAAGACTTTAAGAATTTGGACTTTCATAAATTTTCTGATGTGCAATTTAAAAACTTAATGGACAACTTTTCTGGTTTCATGCGCAAAATTTTACATTTTGCTATGATACTACTTAAACACTTGAGCTCTCAGGAAAATAAACTTCAGCTAGCCCTGCAGTTTATTAAATTACTTCAAAAGCTGAACATTTAGTTTTGTTCTATTTTCAGCTTCACTGAAAGGTGACTGTGTACAACATCTTCCTTGCTCACCAGATGGCACCACGACCTAGAGGAATGGTTCTACGTTTTTCTGCCTGTTTTGTTTTTGGCCAAATAATCTTTTTATTCTTATAATAAAGATAATAATGTTTTTATTTTATTTTTTCCGTACAGTGTTGCCATTTCTAGCTTTGAAATCGTTGAGTTTCTTAGTCAAATTTTTTTTACATCTGACAAAATATGAAATCGCTAACAAAACAAATTCAAAATTAGGGCTTCCAGATGCCCATATTCGCTGGAGAATTACGTTATTCAAAATTTGATGTCTCTAGGTACCGTTGTTTTATCACAATGCGAGAAACATATATACTGCTTCGGCTTGACTAG